CCCCGGGACCCCCCCCAAAATCCCCGGGACCCCCCGGGACTGCCCAAGGCCACCGGGACCCCCCAGAGTGTTGGGATCCCCCCCCCGGGACACCCCCAAATCCCCGGGACCACCCCCCCCAAGTCGCTGAGACCCCTCAAAGCGCTGAGACCCCCCCCCAAAGTGTTGGGACCCCCCCAAAGCCTAGACCCCCCCCCAAAGTGGTGGGGACCCCCACCAAGCGCTGAGACCCCCCACCCAAAGGGTTGGGAACCCCCCAAAGCGTTGGGACCCCCCCACAGCGCGGAGACCCCGTCGGACCGTCTCTAAAACCCCGTGGGCCCCCCCCCCCCCCCAAAATAAAACCCCGCGATCCCGAAACTTGGGACCCCCCTCCCCAAAAGAAAACCTCGGGACCCTCCAGGGACCCCCCTGAACCCCCCCCCGGGACCCCCAAAACTCCTGGGACCCCCCCTTTAATGCCCCCGGGCCCCCCCGCCCCCTCACCAGCCCCGAGAGCCGCTCCTCCAGCAGCCGGTTCAGCCGCCGCGAGCGCGCGTAATCGTCCTGCAGCCTGCGGAGCAAACTGGGAGGACTGGGAGGGCACTGGGAGAGCACTGGGAAGGACTGGGAGGGACTGGAGGGCACTGGGAAGCACTGGGAGGGCACTGGGAAGGACTGGGAGCGACTGGAGGGCACTGGGAGGCACTGGGAGGGCACTGGGAAGGACTGGGAGCGACTGGAGGGCACTGGGAGGCACTGGGAGGGCACTGGGAAGGATTGGGAGGGACTGGAGGGCACTGGGAGGGATTGAGAGGGCACTGGGAGCACTGGGAGGGACTGGGAGCACCCAGAGGGCACTGGGGGAACTGGGAGGGATTGGGAAGGACTGGGGGGCACTGGGAGCACTGGGAGGGACTGGGGGCACTGGGAGCACTGGGACGGACTGGAAGGGACTGGGAGGGACTGGGAGGGCACTGGGAAGGACTGGGAGCACTGGGAGGGATTGAGAGGGCACTGGGAGCACTGGGACGGACTGGAAGGGACTGGGAGGGCACTGGGAAGGACTGGGAGCACTGGGAGGGATTGAGAGGGCACTGGGAGCACTGGGACGGACTGGAAGGGACTGGGAGCACTGGGAGGGATTGACTGGGAGCACTGGGACGGACTGGAAGGGACTGGGAGCACTGGGAGTACTGGGGGAGCACCGGGGGGGGCACTGAGAGAACCCGAGCCCCCGCCCTGTGGGGGGTGTGGCCACACCAAGCCACGCCCACAGGGCACCACCCATCGATCGGTGTGGGCGTGCTCTGTTTGGCCCCACCACGTGGGCGTGTCTTGTCATGTCCCGCCCCCGCGTGGGCGTGTCCCCGAGAGGCCCCGCCCCTCACCTGTCCATCCGCTCCCGCAGCGCGTCCAGCTCCGCCCGGGCCGGGGGGGGGCTGGGGGGGGAACGGGGCTGTGGGACCCCCGGAACGGACCAGGGACCCCCCAGAACCCAGGCGGGACCCCCAGAAATCCACCCGGGACCACCCAAAACCGCCCCGGAACCCCCCAAAAGTGACTCTGGACCCCCCCCAAACCGACCCCGGAAACCCCCAAATTGACCCAGGAATCCCCAAAACTGACCCGCGACCACCCCCCCCCCCCCAACAGCCTCGGCATCCCCAAAGTGATGGGAGACCCCCCCCAAAAGTGACGCGGGACCCCCAAAATCGATCCAGGACCACCCAAAACCGCCCCGGAACCCCCCAAAAGTGACTCTGGACCCCCCCCCAAACCGACCCCGGAAACCCCCAAATTGACCCAGGAATCCCCAAAAATGACCCGAGACCCCCAAACCACCCCGTAGATCCCCCCCCCTCACCCCCGGCCGACCCAGGATCACCCAACCCCGCCCCGGGACCCCCCAAAACTGAACCCGGGACCCCAAACTCACCCGGTCGCTGCCCCGGCGCCTCCGGTCGCCCCCGGCTCCTGTGGGGGGGACCCGGGTGTGACCCCCCCTCGAAAGGGGCCGAGGGTGACACAAAGTGTGTCCCCTCCCCCCAAAAAGGCCCCCCCGCGTCCGTACCTGCCCCCCCTCATCTTCCTCCTCGTCCTCCTCTTCATCCTCCTCCTCCTCCTCCTCCTCCTCCTCCAGCCCCGCCCCGGGGGGGCCCTGCCCCCCCCCCTGGGGGGCGGCGGACCCCGAGCCCAACCGGGGGGACCCCCCCGGGACCCTCCGAGGGGGCGACCCCGGCCCCCACCGACCCTCCGGAGCCCGGGGAGCTGCCGGGGGGGTCCGAGGGGTCCCGGGGGGGGTCCGGGGGCTCCCGGGGGGAGTTCGGGGGGTGGGGGGGGTGCGGGGGGGCCACCCCAGCGCCCGCAGCTCGGCGGGGCTCAGGACCCTCCGCGTCAGCTCGTCCAGGAAGCGGGAGAAGCGGGACCCCCCCCGGGGCCCCCCCACGGCCTCCAGCGAGCGCGCGATCGCCTGGGGTTCGGCCCCCCTATCTTCCCCCCGATCTCGTGTCCCCCCCCCACCCCTCTGCTCCTCCTCTGCTCCCGCATCAGCCCCCCCGCTCCCCCCCCCCTGGCCGCCCCCACCCCCTCTGGGCCCCCCCCCCGGACCCCCGGCCGGGCCCCCGGCGGCGAGGGGGGGTGTAAGAGCCGGGGGGGGGGACGGGACCCCCCCGGGGGGACATCGGGGGGTCCCCGAAGGCGCCCGCGACGTCCCCGAGGGGTTCCGGGGGGTCCCCGAGCCCCCCGGGGGGGTCCCCGGGCAGGCGGAGGTGGCTCTGCCCCCGCCGGGGGGTGGGGGGGGGGCTGTAAGGGCGGGGGGGGCCCCCCCGGGGGGATCTCGGGGGGTCCCCGAAGGCGCCCTCGATGTCCCCGAGGGGCTCCAGGGACCCCGCGCTGTCCCCGAGCCCCCCGGGCAGGCGGAGGCGGCTCGGCCCCCCCCGGCGACGGGCGAGGGGGTGCGAGTGGGGCCCCCCCTCGCCCCCCTCCCCCGCGGGGGGGTCCCCGGGGGGGTGAAGCCCCTCGTGGCTGCGGCTCAGCCCCCGGCGCAGGCGGGACCCCGGGGCGCGGGGGATGTCCCCGAACGTCCCCCCCAGGGGGTCCCCGAGGGGGTCCCCGGGGGTCCCCGCGCCGTCCCCGACCCCCTCGGGGGGGTCCCCGGGGTGGGGGGGGCGGCTGCGGCGCGGCCCCCGCCGCCGGTGGGCACCGAGGGGGTCGGGGGCGGCCCGGGGGGGGCCGGCGACGTCCCCGAGGGTCCCCAGGATGTCCCCGAGGGGGTCCGGGATGTCCCGGAGGGTCCCCTCAGGGGGGGGGTCCCCGGGGGGGTGAAGCCCCTCGTGGCTGCGGCTCAGCCCCCGGCGCAGGCGGGACCCCCCCCGGGGGTCCCCGAGCGTCCCCAGGGGGTCCCCGAAGCCCAGGGGGTCCCTCCGGGGGTCCCCGCGGGGGGGGGAGCGGGGGGGGGGGCCCCCGCAGGGGCCTTCGCCCCCCCCGGAGGAGGAGGAGGAGGAGCAGGAGCAGGAGGTGAGGGAGGGGGAGGACGAGGGGGTCCCCGGGGGGGGGCCCGGGGGGGTGAAGAAGCGCTCGAGCAGCTGCATCTTCCCGGGGGGCACCGGCCCCCCCCGGGACCCCCCCGCGACCCCCCCCCCGGGCCGCGACCCCCGCCGGGAGGGGCGGTGCCGGACGGGGGATCCCCGCGGGGGCCCCCCGCTCATCCCGGACCCCCCGGGACCCCTCGGGAACCCCCCGGGAACCCCCCGGGAACCCCCGGGGACCCCCCCCGGATTCCCCTCGGGCCCCCCCGCGCTGCCTCTGCCTGGATCCGGCTCCGGGTCTTACTCCGGTTCCAGTCCCGGCTCCGGTTCGGGTCTAATCCGGATCCCGGTTTTAACCCGGGCCCGGCCCGGTTCGGCTCCTTAATCCCGATCCGGTGCCTGATCCGGGCCCAGCCTTTGATCCGGTTCCGATCCGATCCGGTTCCGGTTCGATCCGGTTCTGGTCCGATCCGGTTCCGGTCCGATCCGGTTCCGGTCCGATCCGGTTCCGGTCCGATCCGGTTCTGGTCCGATCCGGTTCCGGTCCGATCCGGTTCTGGTCCGATCCGGTTCTGGTCCCGAGTCCGGGCCCAGCCGCTGCTCCGGGGCCGGCTCGGGTCTCCCCCGGCTCTGCTCTCGCTCCGGCTCCGGTTCGGGTCGGATCCCGCTCCGGTCCTTAATCCAGTCCCTGCTCCGGTTCCGGTCCGATCCGGTTCCGGCCCTTCCCCCCGCCCCAGTCCGGGCTCCAGTCCCGGGGTCGCCGCAGTCCCAGTTCCCAGTTCCGACCCAGTTCTGGTCCCGGCTCCAGCCCCAGTCCCTGCTCCAGTCCGGCTTATCCCGCTCCCCGAGCCGCTCCGGTCCGATCCAGTCCCGCTTTGGCCCGGTCCGATCCGGTCCGATCCGGTCCGATCCAGTCCCGCTTTGGCCCGGTCCGATCCGGTCCGATCCGGTCCGATCCAGTCCCGCTTTGGCCCGGTCCGATCCGGTCCGATCCGATCCGATCCGGTCCGATCCGGTCCGGTCCGATCCGATCCAGTCCCGCTTTGGCCCGGTCCGGTCCGGTCCGATCCGATCCAGTCCCGCTTTGGCCCGGTCCGATCCGGTCCGGTCCGGTCCGATCCGATCCGGTCCGATCCGGTGCCGGGCTTTGATCCGGGCCCGGCTCTTTATATCGGCCCGAGCGCATCAGCCGGTCACGTGACCCGACCCTCCCCCCCCCCCCCAATTCCCCCTCCCTCAGACCCCCCCCACCCCCCGGACCTCCCCCCGGATGGGCCGGACTGGAGCTACTGGGGGCACTGGTGTCCCTGGACTGGTTATACTGGTGTCACCTGTACTGGTTACACTGGTGTCCCTGTACTGGTGTCTCTGTACTGGTTGTACTGGTGTCTCTGTACTGGTTGTACTGGTGTCACCTGTACTGGTTACACTGGTGTCTCTGTACTGGTTACACTGGTGTCCCTGTACTGGTGTCTCTCTACTGGTTGTACTGGTGGTACTGGTGTCCTGGCACTATCTATACTGGTTGTACTGGAACCATCAGCACCGGCTGTACTGGTTACACTGGTGTCCTTGTACTGGGTACACTGGTTCCAACCGTACTGGGATCACTGGTGTCTCTGTACTGGTGTAACCAGTTCTGTCTGTACTGGTGTTATTGGTGTCCCTGTACTGGTGTTACTGGTTCTGTCTGTACTGGTGTGATCTCGTCTGTCTGTACCGGTGTTACTGGTGTCCCTGTACTGGTATTACTGGTGTTCCTGTACTGCTGTTCCTGGTCCTGTACTGGTGCTGCTGGTCCTGTGTGCACTGGTGTTACTGGTCCTGTACTGGTGTAAGTGCCCCCCTCCGCCCCCCCAGCCCGGCCAAGGGCGGCCGAGGTCGCTCCCAGTCGATACTGGGACGGTCCCAGTTCAGCCCCGCGGCCCTTTCCATGAGGCACCAACGAGGGGGGGGGCAGTGGGGGGGAAGGGGCCGGTTTTGGGGGACTGGGAGGGACTGGGAGGGACTGGGCCTATCTGGGGGTCCCAGGGGGTGTTCTGGGGGGTCAGGGGCCGGTTTTGGGATCCTTGGGGAGGGGATTTGGGGGTCCCAGGGGGTGTTTTGAGGGGTCAGGGGCCGGTTTTGGGGCGCTCGGGGGCTCTTTGGGGTCCCGGGGGGTGTTTTGGGTGGTCGGGGCCGGTTTTGGGGCGCTCGGGGGCTAGTTGGGGTCCCGGGGGGGGGTTTGGGGTCAGGGGCCGGTTTTTGGGGGCGCCGGGGGCTCGTTGGGGTACCGGGGGGGGGTTTTGGGGGTCAGGGCCGGTTGTGGGGCGCTCGGGGGGCTCTTTTGGGTCCCGGGGGGGGGTTTGGGGTCCCCCCCACTCCCTCCCCCGCTTCCATGACGTGGCCCCGCCTCCATGACGTGGCCCCGCCCCCTTTACGTCGCCGCCATCTTGGCTCCGGGCGGTGACGCCGCTCTTGGCTCCGCCCACTTGAGGGCAGGACGAAGGGGAGGGGCCTGTCTCGCTGACGTCACGGGGATCCCCGGCGCTGATTGGCCGATCGCGCTGTCAGTCAGGCGGGTGACGCGGTCGGACCCGGGAGCGGCGGCGGAGCCCGAGGTTGGGAAGGGGGGGGTGGATTTGGGGGGTCCCGGGGGGGGGTTTTGGGACCCCCGAGGGAGGGGAGGGTTGGGGGAGGGGAGGGGACACGGGTTTGGGGGTCTCGGGTTGGGGGGAGCCGCTTCCGGGGGGGATGAGGGGGGGGACGGTTTTGGGGTGTCCCTCTTGGGAAAGGGGGATTTGGGGGGTCCCGGGGGGGGGGGACACAAAGGGGGTTTGGGGGACCCCTCGAAGGGGATTTGGGTTGGGGGAGGGGACACGGGTTTGAAGGGGGGGGGACCCGGTTATTGGGGACCCGTTTCCGGGGGGGGAGGGTGTTTTTTGGGGGTTTCCCTCTGTTGGGGGGGGAATTTTGGGGTCCCGGGGGGGGGAAGGGAGGGTTGGGGTCCCCGGGGGGTTCCATTTCGGGGGGGGGGGTCGGACACGGCCTTTGGGGGAACCCGATCTGGGGGGGCCCGTTTCCGGGGGGGGGAGGGGGCGGTTTTGGGGTGCCCCCGTTGGGGGGGGTGGAAATTGGGGGGTCCCGGGGGGGGAGCAGGTTTGGGGGACCCTCCCCCCCCCCCCGGGGGCTGGTCCCGGGTTCTGGGGAGACCCCTGTTTTTGGGGGAGGGGGGTGGGGGGCCCCCAGGCCGGTTTGGGGGGGCCCCGGGTGTGGGTGGGGCCGTTTCCGGGGGTGGGGCAGTTTTTGGGGTGCTCCGTTTTTAGGAGGGGGGGGAAGGGGCGGTTTTGGGGTGTCCAAGGGGGGGGGGGTCCCTGGCTATTGGGGGGGGCACCCAGGGTTTGGGACCCCCCTAAAAAGGAGAGGGATAATGGGGGGGGGGTTGGGAGGACCCCAATTTTGGGGAGGGGAGGGCAGGGGGGGGGATTTGGGGGTGCAGGACCCCCCCCCTCGAACCCCCCCGGCCCCCCCCCCCAGTGCCGCCATGTCCTGAGGATGTTCAGCCTGGACGAGACCCCCGAGGACCCCGGATCCAACCCCCCCTCCCCCTGGGGGGGCTCCCCCACCCCCAGCCAGCCCAGCACCCCCTCCCCAGGTGAGAGACCCCCCCAAAATAACCCCAAAACTGCCCCAAAACCTCCCATGGCCCCCCC